AATGTTATATCCAACGTCTTGTGCCCATTTAATCATAGCCGATTTTACCGTTTCATCCTGAGTGTTCCATTTCAGCAGCAAGTTATACATTCTTGACAAATTCTTAGTTTTGGGTTCTAACAGTTCAGTTTCTAATTTTGATCTTTCCACCTGGAAGCCAATTTTCTTGTCCAATTTAAATGCCTCCATTATCTGAAAATAATGAAGCCAGTCTCGCACTTTGTTTTTTAATTTTTCAAAACTCTGCAATTTCAGTCTATCTCCATCTTGTTCCAAAATTTCCCAATATTTCGGCCATTTGACCTCCATATTGAGCTTTTTCAAGGCTTTCGCTTCCATTGGTGACAGCCACCTTGGGGTTTTATTTTCTAACAAATCCTTATATCTTATCCAAACATTAAACAGCGCTTTCCTGACAATGTGGTTTTTAAATGCTTTATGTGCTTTGACCTTGTCATACCATAGATATGCATGCCATCCAAATACATTGTTAAACCCTTCTAGGTCCAAAATGTCAGTGTTTTCAAGAAGTAGCCATTCTTTCAGCCAGCAAAAAGCTGCTGATTCATAGTAAAGTTTGAGGTCTGGCAGGGCAAATCCACCTCTTTCCTTTGCATCCGTTAGTATTTTAAATTTTATTCTGGGCTTCTTGCCCTGCCAGACAAATCTAGAAATATCTTTCTGCCACCTCTTGAAACAATCCATTCTGTCCACAATTTGCAAAGTTTGAAACAAAAACAACATTCTAGGCAATACATTCATTTTTATCGCAGCAATACGGCCCAGCAGTGAAAGCTTCAAATTTGACCAAATTTCTAAATCTTTTTTCACTTCAGCCCAACATTTTTCATAGTTATCTTTAAATAAGTTCCCATTTTTTGCTGTCATGTTAATCCCCAGTGTCAGGGCTGCCTCAAGTCTCAGCTCACAAAAGACCAACGCCTATGTCTTCTTATATACAAAAGTGTTTATTGCAGTTCATTGTTTGCTTGACATCTTAGGCGCGCAGCCCTACGTCTGCTACGCTTAGACCGCTGAAGTCCCCTCTGAATCCGTCCCTCCCCTGCACCAATTTAAGAGGCTTGCACTGCTCCACCTCTTTCTCTCTTTCCTTTTCCGCAGGGTCCTTCTGCCCGCTGGAGTTTCGCCCCTCCTCGGATTCCTCTGACGCGGAATCAGACTGCTCTTCCCCCTCCTGCGGGCTTTGGGACCTGGCCCCTCCTCCGGGCTCCCTGTACTTCCGCGCGCCTCTACATTTGAACTTGGCGCGCGCGCCAAACCTCTAACTTTCCTTTTGACAGTTACACTACTCCCTTCACTGCTCCCTCCCCTTCCGGGAGGGTGGCTTGCTCTGACCTCCCTCCCTTCTCTGCTGCCGGAGCTGCTTCCCCTGATACACTGGAAACTCCACCCCCTTCGCTGCACTCTGGTGGGGAGGCTGGTCCTGACGCCCAGCTGCCACTTTGGGATCCTCCGCTGGCCCCCTGCTCCTGACACGTCCCCCCTGGGGCTCCCCGGGCCTTGACCACCGGCGCCCCCTTCTGGGAATCCTCTGATTCGCTGGAAAGACTCATGGAATCTCTTGAGTCATTGTCATCCTCTTCCTCGCTGGCTTGGGATTCATCCCCATCGCTCTCCATCTCCTGCCTACCCTGTGCCTCTCTCCCTGAACCCCTGACATCCATCCCCCCCTCGAAGCCCCCCCTTCCCCCCTCCCGCTGCTCGGGCGCAGGTTCCGGGAGCTTCGTTGTAGCGGGGGTAGATGCTGGATACAGTTCGTCGACGTCGATCTCCTCTGCTTCCAGTTCAGTGTAGGAGTGCTCGAAACCGGGGTCCTCCCCAACACATCCAAACCCTTCCCTCCCCCTGTTACTTCAGGCGAAGCTGCTTGCCAAGGCCCCCTTCGCCACCCCACTTCTGGTTGATCGTCCCACCACTAAAAGCGGTCCCTGTCCACCCCCCAGCACGATCCCCATGGAGGGCATGATTCTTGCGTGGTCTCCACTGCGGAGGAGAACGCCCGGAAGGTGGTGCCTGAAAGTGTGGGGGTATAAAGCCAGTCTTCAATATTCTCCTCTGGCATGGGCCTGTGTGGGAAGAGTGCATGGAACTCGTCCTTAAGAAAAGGTTCCTCCAGAGCATAATCTGGCACCCAACTGTTGGCGCTGGCCGAGGTACCTTCCCTGGCGAGGAGGTATTCCACTCCCTCCTCCCCCCATCTCGAGTCCAGAATTTCCGTGACCTCGTTGAGTGTCGGGGTCCTCGGTGACTTCCCCCCCCTGGTGACTTTCTACGTGGGTCTGGTGCCGTCCCTGGCTCCTGAAATCTGTGTGGGGCCTTGTAGGGTGTAAGCACCGACCTATGAAAGACCGGGTGCATTCGGGAATCCTCTGGGAGGGTCAACCGAAAAGCTACGGGATTGATCCTGCCCTCAACTTGGTATGGCCCTAGCTGTTTGTGTCCTAGCTTCTTCTTAGCTAACGACTTGGCCGGCACCGCCTGGGCTGCTAACCATACCCAGTCCCCCACCTGGATGTCTTCTCCTGCCCTCCTGTGCCTGTCTGCCTGCACTTTGTAGGCGTGTTTAGCTAGTTCCAAGTGCCGTCGTAGCTCCTCGTGGACCTCCTGCAATTCTGCTGCTAAATGCTCTGCTCCCTGCGACTCCCCCTGCGTCGTTGTCTCCAGCACCAGGAAGGTTCTGGGATGTCGCCCATTGTTGGCGAAGAACGGTGTCACCCCCGTTGACGCGTGCTTCGTGTTGTTGTAGGCAAACTCGGCCATCGGTAAGTAGTCCACCCAAGTTGCAGGCTTTTGATTGGCGTAACATCGCAGGTACTGCTGCATGATGGCGTTGACCCTCTCCGCTTGGCCGTTGGTTTGCGGGTGTCTCGCCGACGCTAAGTTGATCTTGACATTCAGGATGCCCAGGAGCTTCTGCCAGAAACTGGAAATGAATTGGCGACCCCGGTCGGACAGGATGGACCGCGGTAAGCCGTGCACCCGGAACACGTGGTCTATGAACAGCTTGGCGGTCTGTTCCGCTGTTGCCACCTTCGCGCAAGGAATGAAGTGCGCCATCTTGGTGAACAGATCTACAACCACAAGCACCGCCGTCTTGCCCCGCGAACTGGGCAGATCAGTAACAAAGTCCAGCGCCACCCTTTCCCACGGCTGCAGTGGCGTCTCCAGCGGTTCCAGCAATCCCGCTGGCTTCTTGTGCACTGGCTTGGACCTCTGACAAGTGTCACACCTGGCGACGTAATCCGCGACCTCTCCCCGCATCTGGGGCCACCAAAAGTCTCTGGCTACTAAGTCCGCCGTCTTTTCTTTGCCGAAGTGACCCGCGCTGGGCGCGTCGTGTAACTGCTGTAAAACCTTCGCGCGGAGATCGTCTCCCGGCACGTAGAGAGCACCTTTGCGGGTCAGCAGGCCGTCGCGTATCTGGAATTCGCCGTCCTTTGCTGTCCCTCTTCGCACCTCCTCCATCTTGGATTGTGCGAACGGATCCGTCTGTAGCGCGCGTCGTACCGCGTCCAGGTCCACGGCGGCGGAAGCGCACGCCCACGCTTGCGGTGCGAAAATGTGCCTGGCTGCCACTGGTGCCGCTTCCTCGAGATACTGCGGTTTCCTGGAGAGCGCATCCGCTATGACGTTGTTGTCTCCCGGGATATACTCTATCCGGAAATCGAAATCCGCAAAGAACTCCGCCCATCTCATGTGCCTCTGGCTCTGGAGCTTCGCCGTGCGCCAATACTCTAGGTTCTTGTGGTCCGTGCGGACCTGCACGGTGTGCTTGGCTCCGATGAGGAAGTGCCGCCACGCCTTGAAAGCCGCGTGGATGGCCAGCAACTCCCTGTCCCAGATGGTGTAGTTCTGTTCCGACTTGCTGAGCTTCCGGGAATAGAAAGCGCAGGGCCTCCAGTTCCCTTGCGGATCTTCCTGCAAGAGGACGGCCCCCACTGCTCTGTCAGATGCGTCAGTCTCACCCCGCATGGGCCTGCTGGGATTCACGTGTAGCAGCTGGTCTTCGGACGCGAAGAGACTCTTAAGTCTCCTGCAGGACTGCTCCGCCTGGGCCGTCCCGGTGAACTGTTTCTTCTTGGAACTGAGGGTGTCCGGGATAGCTGCCGTCTCTTTCGCGAAACCCCTGATGAACTTGCGGTAAAAGTTGGCGAAGCCGACGAGACCTCGGGACCTCCTTCCGATTGCGCGGGCTATTCCAGTCCAACACCGCGCGGACCTTGGCGCTGTCCATGGCTAGTCCCTTGTCGGACAGCCGGTAGCCCAGGAAATCCACCTCCGTCACGTCGAACTGGCACTTCTCCAGCTTGGCGTAGAGTCTGTGCTCCCGTAGCCTCTGCAGGACCTCCTTTACGTCTCTTTCGTGAGTCTCCTGCGATTCTGAGAAGATCAGAATATCGTCGAGAAAGCATACGCACTTCTTGTAGAGGAGTCCTGCTAGCACGTGGTGCATGAATGCTTGGAAACAGTGGGAGCCATTTTGGAGACCAAACGGCATAACTCTGTATTCATAGGTGCCCAGCGGCGTGAACATGGCCGTCTTCCACTCGTCACCTTCCCTCATGCGTATTAGATTGTATGCTCCACGTAGATCCAACTTGGTGAAGATCCTCCCCTTCCTCACCGTCGCGAGCAGGTCGTCAATCTTGGGCATGGGGAAAGCCTTGGGTTTTGTCATCGAGTTTATGGCCCTATAGTCCACAATGAGCCGTTTTTGGGGCGTGTCCTTCTTCTTCACGAAAAACACAGGACTGCCCCCACTGCCTTGGATTCTCGGATGAATCCCGCTTCAAATTGTGATCTATGAACTCCCTGAGTTCCTGCATCTCATCTTCAGACATGGAATACAGCTTCGCAGTCGGTAGCGTCGCCCCTGGTAAGAGGTCAATTGCACAGTCGTAGGGCCGGTGGGGTGGTAATTGGTCAGCTTCCTTCTCTCAGAAAACCTCCAAAAACCCCTTGTACTTGTGGGGCACCGCCTGCACCATGCCTAGATGCAACTGTTGCCCTTCCTCCTGGCCCTCCTCCTCCTGGCCGATCTGGATGCAATGTTGTGCGCAGTAGGACGAGGCCAAAGGTGAGCTGCCGCTGGTACCACGCCAATGATGGGCTGTGTCTGTCCAGCCAACTCATGCCTAACACTATGGGCGTGTCTGACAGTTGGGTGACATTGAAACTGATGACCTCGCGATGATTCCCAATTTTCAGCAGCATGGGTGGCGTCTGTTGTACCACTTGCCCACCCAGCAACTTCCTGCCATCTACGGTGACCACATTCAGAGGCAGCGTGGCTGGTAGTAGCGCTATGCGATGCTGCTTGATGAACTGCATCCCCACGAAGTCTGCGTTGCTCCCTGAGTCAATCGTAATGGGGACTTCCAGGGTGAGTCCATTAGGCAGCTGGAGAGTAGCAGTGAGCTGCACCACTGGCTTGGGTGGTAAGGGGTCTGTAGGCTGCAAAAGCGCTGGGGACTGCTTCACTGACTTGCCTGGCGGAGCCCCAGCATCTCTGCTTCCAGCCAGGCATTCTCGTTTCCCTGAAACTGTTCCTCTTGGAACGCTTCCCCTGTTACTGTTGCTAAGGCTGCAGTGTGCTTCTGGAGCCTCTGGGGACACTCTTTAGCCATGTGCCGTGCACTGTCACAGATGTAACACTTCCTGGTCCCTCTAGGAGGCTTCGCCTTGACTGCTCCGGACGCTGAGGCTCCGGCAGCTGTCTGAGCCTTTGCACCACCCAGCTCCATTGGTTCTTCCTCCCCTTTCAGCATAGGCGAGAGGTTTGTACGTCCCAGGTCCCTGGGAGGAAAAGGAGGTGCTCTAGCTGGTGGGCGGACGTGACGCCCCTCCTCACTGTGCCAAGGGCGTTCTTCGTGGCGCACCCCTATCGTGAGTGCCCTCTGCACGACGTCTGCTAGGGTTTGAGGTCTGTCTCCCCTAGCCAGCTCATCTTTTACTGAGCCATGAAGCCCTTCCCAGAACAAGTCCCTCACTGCCAGGGAGTCCTTTTCCCAGCCCAGCACATTCAGCAATGCAAAAAAGCGAGAATGGTACTGACGCACTGTAGCCTTGCCCTGCCGCAATCCATGCATCTCCTGGCGCGCCACATCAACGTCAACGGTAGATTGGAAGCAAGCGTCCATGGCTTTGATAAATTCGTCAGAGTCCCTGCGTGCAAGACCATCTTCGCGCCACAAATTGCGTAACCAGGTTCTAGCTTCCCCATGCAAATGGGACACAATAAAGCCTACTTTCTCCTCCTCATCTTTGAAGTCTTTCGAAGCAAATGCAGCGCGTATACGACGTCTGCTCTGAAATTGGGATAATGCTTCAGGTTCCCATCGAAGTGGGCTACTAAATTGCCCCCCCTCCGTCCGAGTCCGATTCCCTCTGATCTGGACCCCGGGAACCCCTCTTTGCACGCCCGATCCCACCTGGCTTGCAGATCCTGGCATCGCGCTTCTGCGTCGGCAACTGTCTTCTGAGAGACCCGTACTGCAACGGAGAGTTCAGTGACTGCGTTTTGCAGGGTCGTTATCTGCTCCTCAGTAGTCATCTCTGCCAAACTTCGTGAGCTTTGCAAAAAAATTTTTGCGGTTTTTGGTGAGAGGGGACTTACTGTCAGGGCTGCCTCAAGTCTCAGCTCACAAAAGACCAACGCCTATGTCTTCTTATATACAAAAGTGTTTATTGCAGTTCATTGTTTGCTTGACATCTTAGGCACGCAGCCCTACGTCTGCTACGCTTAGACCGCTGAAGTCCCCTCTGAATCCGTCCCTCCCCTGCACCAATTTAAGAGGCTTGCGCTGCTCCACCTCTTTCTCTCTTTCCTTTTCCGCAGGGTCCTTCTGCCCGCTGGAGTTTCGCCCCTCCTCGATTCCTCTGACGCGGAATCAGACTGCTCTTCCCCCCTCCTGCGGGCTTTGGGACCTGGCCCCTCCTCCGGGCTCCCTGTACTTCCGCGCACCTCTACATTTGAACTTGGCGCGCTCGCCAAACCTCTAACTTTCCTTTTGACAGTTACACTACTCCCTTCACTGCTCCCCTCCCCTTCCGGGAGGGTGGCTTGCTCTGACCTCCCTCCCTTCTCTGCTGCCGGAGCTGCTTCCCCTGATACACTGGAAACTCCACCCCCTTCGCTGCACTCTGGTGGGGAGGCTGGTCCTGACGCCCAGCTGCCACTTTGGGATCCTCCGCTGGCCCCCTGCTCCTGACACGTCCCCCCTGGGGCTCCCCTGGCCTTGACCACCGGCGCCCCCTTCTGGGAATCCTCTGATTCGCTGGAAAGACTCATGGAATCTCTTGAGTCATTGTCATCCTCTTCCTCGCTGGCTTGGGATTCATCCCCATCGCTCTCCATCTCCTGCCTACCCTGTGCCTCTCTCCCTGAACCCCTGACATCCAGGTATTTAACTTTCTTAACCACTGTTAAACCTGTCTCATTCTGAAACCTCTCTCTTTCAATCGGTGTTAAATTTTTCTCTAAAACCTTAGTTTTTGACTTGTTCAATTTAAATCCTGCCACTTGACCAAATTCTTGAATCAGTTCTAAAACCCTTTTAGTACTAGATTCTGGCTCCTGTAACGTCAATACTAAGTCATCTGCAAATGCTCTCAATTTGTACTGTTTAGTTCCGACCTGTATACCTTTAACCAACTGGTCCCTTCTAATCATATTCAGCAAAACCTCCAGGACCGAAATAAAAAGAAGTGGGGAAATTGGGCAACCTTGTCGTGTCCCTTTTTCAATTTTAAGTTCTTCCGTCACAACATTATTTACAATTAGTTTAGCCTTTTGTTCTGAATAAATTGCACTTATACCATTCTCAAAACCTTGGCCTACCCCCATGCCCTGTAGATTCTTCTTCATAAAGTTCCAAGAAATGTTATCAAAGGCTTTCTCCGCGTCTACAAATATCAAAACTGCCTTAGTATTTATGTTCACTTCTAATTTTTCCAAAATATCAATTATATTTCTCAAATTGTCAGACAAATGTCTTCCTGGGAGAAAGCCCGCTTGGTCTTTGTGAATCTCTTCCATCAACACTTTTTTAAATCTCTTAGCCAAAATATCTGCAAAAATTTTGTAATCCACATTAAGTAATGATATAGGGCGGTAGTTCTTAAGCTGTGTCTTTTCAGTCTCTGTTTTCGGTACAAGTGTAATATATGCTTCTTTCCACGACTCTGGTGCTCTTTTCCCCTCCATTATTTCATTGCAGACCTCTTTCAAAGGTTGGATTAACCATTCTTTCAAAGATCTGTAGTATCTAGAAGTCAAGCCATCTGGTCCTGGAGATTTACCCAATTGCATATTTTGAATGGCACCTTCTATTTCCTGTTCAGTTATTTTATGATTCAAAATTAATTTATTTTCTTGAGATATTTTTTGTAATCCATTTGTTTTCAAAAATTGATCTAAGTCTGTTTCTTTCAATGGCCCTTGAGTATATAATCGTTTAAAATACCTCTGGAAACAACTTCTAATTTCTGCAGGGTTCTGTATATTTCTTCCTTCCACTTCTAAGTTCGTAATTGTATTTAGTTTTTGTCTCTTTTTCATTTGCCATGCCAACAGTTTACCACATTTATTGGCCGACTCAAAGGTCTTTTGTCTCATTTGTTTAATTTTCCATTCTATTTCCTGATTCATCATTTTCATATATTGTACTTGATGTAGCTTTAACTCTCTCAGAATCTCTTGAGATTTTGGATTTACTCTCAGTCTTTTTCACTTTCCTTTATTTTGTCCATTATCTTATCCTTCTTCTCATTTTGAATTCTTTTCTTTACTGCATTCTGTTGTATTAAGAACCCTCTCATAACCGCTTTACTTGCGTCCCAGATTACTCTTTTCTCCACGTTGGTACTAAGGTTTATCTCAAAATAGTCTCTCAAGGTTTTTTGGGCCTTCTTAAGTACTTCTTCATCTCTAAATAAGGTGTCATTCATCTTCCATCTGAAGGAGCCAGTTGGTGTTAGTCTCATTTCCATCTTAACTGCATTGTGGTCGGAACAGGTTTTCGGGCAGATTTCCACCTTTCTTGTCTTTGGTGCCATTCCTCTAGTTATCCAAATTTGGTCAATTCTTGTCCATGTCATTTTGGCTTCAGAAAAGAAAGTTCCCTCTTTAGCCATGGGGTTTCTTATTCTCCAAATGTCAACTAAATCCAAGTTGTCTGTCATGTCAAAAAAAGTTTTCGGTAGTCTACCATCCTTGGTGACTACCTGTCTTTGTGCCTTGTCCATATATGTGGATACCACTCCATTCATATCTCCCATCAGAATCATGTTGTAATCCATATGGTCCATCAGGGTCTCATGCAACTTCTTAAAGAATTCAGATTTCCCATCATTTGGTGCGTAGATTCCTACTATCAAAAATTTTTCTCCTTGTGTTTGAATTTCAATTGCCACAAATCTTCCTTGGTCATCTTTAAAAACAAATTTCGGTGATAATCTGTCCTTTGCATAAATCACAACCCCTCTTTTTTTTAACTTTGTCCGATGAAATAAACTCCTGACCAAGTCTTTTATTTATCATCAATTTCCTGTGTAATCTTGTTATATGTGTTTCTTGTAAACAAATTAAGTCCAATTGTTCCTTTTTAATAGATGAAATACTGATTTCCTTTTCTGAGGGAATTCAAACCATGACAGTTCCAAGTTAGTAGTTGCAGGGCCATGATGTTATTGTTTTAGTTCTCCTCCTACTGCACCTAGTGCCTGTTCCTCTTCCGTCGGTGGTATCACTTTTTTCAAACAGTCTTTTGGTTCCGGAGATAGTCCTTTTTGTAAATCTTCTCCGTGGTCTCTCCAGAATTTGTCTTTGTCGTCTTCCGATCTTATTTTCCTCTTCTTTCCTTTGTAGCTAAAAGATAGGCCTTGAGGAAATTCCCACCTAAAGTTAATACTGTTACTTCTCAGCAAGGTAACCAGATCTTTATAGTTTGATCTGAGATCCAGAAGGTGTTTCAGAATGTCTTTAAATATCTCCACTCTTGTCTGATGTATTTCCAGTGTCTTCTGGAAATGCAAACCCAAGATCTTGTCCCTCTCTTCTTTTGTTCGAAGAGTGATCAAACAGTCTCTCACCTTCTTTTCTCCTCTTTTTCCAAGTCTAAAGGCATTCACTATTTTAAAGCTGTCTTTTACCAATTCTGGATTCCAAAAGTCAGAAAATTCCTGCATGAGAAATTCAGCTAAATTGTCCTTCTCCACTTCAGGTACCGATCTGACCCGTAAATTCACTTGTTTTTCTTTCAACTCAATCATAGACAGGGTCGACTTATGGTCTTCCAATTGTTTATGCAATGGTGGTATTTTCTCTTGAACCTCTTTAACCTCTGTGGCAGACGCTGTAGCAATTTCTTTGGCCTCCTCGGCAATCTGACGTGTTGAGG